CGCTGTGGGTGGGCTCTGCACCTTACCTGGCTGCTTCTTGCTCTGACTGAGGGCTGCAGGGGGTGGGGCTTGTTGCATGTGCCCGCCCCCTGGGCTCTTTACTGACGGAGCTCCGCTCCTGTGCGCTCCTGCAGGAAATGACCCCTGATTTTACTGCCTTAAGAAAACCAAGGGTATCATTTCAGTTTTAACGTATAACATCATATGCTTTAGTATAGTTATGAAATGTAAAATGCTCCCAAAAAAAGGCAAATAATGAGAGAGAGAAGAGGTGGTGGAGGTGGCGGCGCTTGTACTGAATTTATGAATCACCCAACCTACAAGCGGGCTCTGGGTGATTTACAACCTTATAAAATATTTAAAACACAATCAATAAATAGGTAAATTTAACCAACAATAGATCAATAACTAAAAACCAGTCCAAGATGGTAGTAAGAAAATCACCCTTTGCCGGCCACACCAGTGTGCTGTACGACAGGGCAGGGCATGTGGGGGCCACAGAAGAGGAAAACGGGGTGCCAGTCTCTTAACCTCCCATTGCTGCCCTCAACCAAAAGCCCGGCGGAACATCTCTGCCTCGCAGGCCCTGCGGGATTGCACCAGATCCCGCCGCAGGGCCCTCGTGTCGATTGGCAGAGAGTTCCACCAGGTCGGGGCCGGGACCAAGAAGGCCAGAGAGAGACAGAGAAGGGAGAAAGCAAAAGCAGAACTGGAGCTTGGGTTGGGGAGGATTCTTCCTGCAGTATGAATGGCTAAATAGCAGGGGGTTTGGAACCAGGCTTGGGACTAGGATTGCCCGTTCCTGATCGAGGACAGCCGGACCTCCCTAGGGCTGGGGATCACCAGCAAGTTGTCATCAGCTCATATTAGCATTCTTTTGGGGACATATTGGAGGAAGAGGTGTATCGTCGCACCTTAGAACGGTAACGTCTTTTTGCCATCTGAGAAGTCGGGGGGGGGGGAAATGTAAGTTGCAAATAGAAACCATAAACTTCATAACTATCTAAAGAAGGTTTATTGTCAGGGACCCAATCCTTGTGTTTATACAACTGCAGCTTGGAATGGGGTGCTGCACCCTTCTTCTCAACCCCTAAAGCTTACAAGGCCCCAACGGTGACTACTCAAGGGGTGCGTTTCCGCCCGAAGGAAGCCTCTCTCGATCAAGCCGGTGTTCCTTTCTTTAAGACCAGAACTGGTTTTTCCATCTCGAATCTTAGGGGTTTTTTGTCTGTTGATCTTGGGAATGTTTAGTCTGGAGGAGGTGGAGGGGGGGGGTTTGAGGGGTCCGAAGGGCTGTCTTGAAGGATTCGAAGGGCTGTCACTTAGAGGAGGGCGGGGAGCTGTTCCCGTTGGCAGCAGAGGACAGGACTCACAATAATGCATTTAAATCAAGGGCGGGAAGGTACCAGCTGGATATTAAGAAAAACCTTTTTGACAGTAAGAGTTGTGCAGTAGTGGAATCGGCTGCCTCGGGAGGTGGTGAGCGCCCCCTCACTGCTGTCAGATTCCACAGCCAACAACTGAGTACACGCTTATCAGAAAGGTTATACTTTATTGCAGAGCTATAGATGCAGTAACAAAGTCACTGTTAAGAATGGCGCCGCCCCCACAAGCATAATGGGATATAGGGTATTCGTATGCACACACACCCCTTCCTCAGGCCAATTGGCCACATTCCCCCGCGCGGGAGAAGGAGCCCCAGGCCATTAGAGCCGAAGCTGAGAACCGAAAGCGCTCCCACGGTTCCCAGAATCCCAGACACTACACACCACATGCAAGGCCATAGATAAGCAAGCGTTACAGAAGCAAAGAAGGAATGCAGCGGAACTTGGTACATAGGGCAAGCAAGCATCCTACCCCCACCCATTATGGCAGCATAGCTGACAACTGCCAATCTTTAAGCAGTGTCTGGATAAACACTTGTCAGTGATGCTCTAGGCCAGAGGTGGCCAAACTGTGGCCCGGGAGCCACATGAGGCTCTTTCACACATATTGCGCGGCTCCCGGCGGTGGGGCTGGGGAAGCTAAATATCATTAGCAAACAAATATCATCGGACAAATAAATATCATTATCAAGATCTGCGTTTACCGCTTTTGTTATTATTTTTGGCCACCTCAAATTTGCGTATTTTCCAGCAAAAGCGTGTAATGTTTATTCATGTCTTGTGGCTCTCAAATGTCTGACGTTTATCCTGTGTGGCTCTTACGTTAAGCAAGTTTGGCCACCCCTGGTCTAGGCTGATCCCGCATTGAGCAGCGGGTTGTTCTAGATGTAGGGCCCTTTGTGAGTCTGTGATCGTTCTCTGTGACGAGCATCCCACATGCAATGCAGGCTCTGTTTAATTTTCTGTACCTCCTTCGATGGAGTGGAAAAGGTGGACAGCGTGTGTGTCGATCAGCCGCTTGCTGGTTTTGGAGGTACTACCCAGCCCGAGTGACTGGTGCTGGAGGACTGAAAGGAGGCGATTGTTTCCCATTTCCCTGTTTTCTGCCCCCCCCTCAGGTGCGGTACATGAAGATCATAGAGAAAAGTGGGTATCAGGCTCTCCCATGGGTCCGCTACATCACCCAGAGCGGGGGTAAGTGGGCAAGACTGCCAAGATTGGATAACTTGGAATTGAGTTGGCAAGGAGCATAAAGATACTAGACTTCCCTTTCCGCGTTAGATTTGCCCTCCCCTGTTTCCTGGCCCACCACTGATGCTTTGGAGGGTAGACTATGGGGAGGGGTGTCAAACATGTGGCCCGGGGGCCGGATGAGGCCCCCGGAGGGCTTCTCTCAGGCCCGCAGTGGAACTGGCTGTCTTCTGCAGCTTATTCCAGTTCTGCCGCTGCTGCGTCATCGTAGGTTTGCAGCTTACAGATACACACCCGAACAGCCCACTCAAGATTGCAGCAACACAGACATTAAATTAAAATTAATAAAGATGAATAATAAAAAAAAGAACCTGGAAGTGACGTAGGCACATCGAGGGGCGACACTCTGGTTTTGGGGCAAAGCTCCATGGTAGAATTACAGGTTTTGCCCAAAAACCAGAGCGTTGCCCCCAATGTCACTTCCGGGTCACGTAGATGTGTCGCTGAAATGCTGGGTGTTTGTCCCTTTTTGAGGGGGTAATTCCCCCCACCTGCCAGCTGGTGGAGAGGTGGAGTCTGACTGTGGGCAGCCCCCGCCACCACCAGGGTGTGTGTGTGTCGGGGTCTGGCATCCCTGGGGGTTAAGCTCATGAGGGAGAAGGTGTTCATTAAGGTATGTTGGTATGTGGCTAGTTTGGTGTAGTGGTCGAGAGCCAGTTTGGTGTCGTGGTTAAGTGCGCGGATTCTAATCTGGGAGAACCGGGTTTGATTCCCCACTCCTCCACTTGCACCTGGCTGGATGACCGTGGACAAGCCGTAGTTCTGGCACAGCTGTCCTTGAAAAAGAGCAGTTTCTGTCAGAGCTCTCTCAGCCCCGCCTACCTCACAGGGTGTCCGTTGTGGGGAGGGGAAGGGAAAGGAGTTTGTAAGCCGCTCTGAGACTCCTTTGGGTAGTGAAGGGCGGGGTATAAACCCAATCTCCTCTTCTTCTTCTCAAGAGCAGTTTCTGTCAGAGCTCTCTCAGCCCCACCGGCCTCACAGGGTGTCTGTTGTGGGGAGCGGAAGGGAAGGGAAAGGAGTTTGTAAGCCGCTCTGAGACTCCCATGGGTAGGGAAGGGCGGGGTATAAATCTTCCTCTTCCTCTTCTTTATAAGTATAATAAATGTGGGATGGGAGCAAATGCTGCGGTCTGTTATTTGGAAGTCCCTCAGATACCCAAAGTCTTTGGGCAGAGTGGGGGTTGCCCTGGGACCTGTATGGGAGGCCATCGGTATTCCCCCTTTCCTAGCCAGAAACAGGAGGCGAGTGACCTCCTAAAGCTGCTCTGGAAAGAGTATTCCTCCTTGCTGGGATCGCACAGGATCAGTTGATTTTTAAAGAGTGTCGCTCCATTCAGAGGCAGAACTTCTCCCAACCACAAGGCCTTCTAGCCAAGCGGCTCATCAAACTCACTGTTGTCTTCTACCATTCTGTTCCAGATTATCAACTCCGGACACATTAAGCCTCGTCACCTTGCGGGCTTGGACCGCCTCAAGAATGGATGCCTTAGAGAACGTTTTAATCTGCAGATGCCTTCTTCGAAACACACCGTGTGTGTTCTTCTAAAAATGTTCTTTTCTTGGCCTACCTGCAATTTAACTAGGTAGCAGTTTTTGGACTACTCCGTGCAGTGCCTAGAGGGAAACGACAGCCCTGTCCTTGTTGGTTGGGTTATTTTTAATGCTACTTCCCTGCCTGAACTGGAATCGTTTCTGGGGGAATGTCACCATACCCTTCCTCACCCAAGTTCCCTGGTGGCCAGCTTCCTGGAACGTTTGTCGTCTGGGGGATACCACACAATGAGAACTCTCTCAACAAATGTGCCCCCTTTTCGGTCTGGTCTGGCAGCCCAGCTGGGAGGCAGTCAGTTCTGCCTTCCCACAGAGGTGGTGAATAGAAGAGAATTCAGTCCAACAGAAGCTGGCACCACCATTTCCCATGATTGTATGGATTCCCGTTCTGATGCAGGTCGAAGAAGTGGTGGGAATGGCACGAAGCACTCCACCTAGCAGTCTATATCCCTCTGTCAGTTCAGGGCCTGGATTCTTTGGAGAGTTAGACCTTTCTCCCTCCACTTCAGTTCCCTGTCTGTAAAGTAAGAATAGAAACTGTCTACTTACGGGATCATTGTGAGGACGAGCGAGACAGCCTACTGCTTTTTCCTTCTCCAGAGATCATGATAAATTATAAACGAGAGTGAAATCAATAAATTGTAATAGGGTCGTGGTTCTCATGTGTATCATTGTACAGGTCAGTTCCCTTTTGTTCTGCTATGCTGTTTCCTTAATTCACCTGCTCCACAGTAGACTACAAACGGGGGCGGTTATCCTAGATGCTACCTTGGCTAGTTCCGACAGATCAAGGGCCCCTTTAGTCATCGTAAGGCCTGGAATACAGGCAAAGCACAGCAACAGAGCTAAATCACAGTCAGGAGCAGGCCCGTAGCTACCGCGGGGCACGCGGAGCCCAGCCTCCTCGTGATTTTTATGGGCCCCACTCCCTGAGCCTCGGCTTTCCCTCCCCCCTGGGCCCCCTCCCCCTAATGGCCTGTCACACAGTTACAGCATTGCACTCACGAATATGAGCTGGCTTCTCCCTTGTTGAGCCCATCTACGATGAGCTGAGTCTCTTTAGGACCCAGCAGCAACCGGTGGTTGACCGAGTCACACACACATTGGTCAGATTGCAGCCACTGCAGCAGTTCGCTCCCCCTGTTGGATTTTCTGTGCCAGGCTTCAGAAGAGATCGCCGGCTCAGGGAAGGAGTGAGGAAGGACGCTTAATCCCCGTTCTCCTTTTCAACGTTCCTAGACCTCTGAGGAACCTTAGTGTGTGGCGCTGTTAACAGTCTATTAACATTGGGATCCTGGATCGCCTCAGAGGAAGGCTCTAATGGGGGCTGGGTGGGGGCGCGCCAAGCAGACCCCCCCTTGCCCTGGAGCCTTTGATTTAATTAGCTGGTGCCCCCCCAAGGCCCCCTCCCCCCCAAATCCCTAGCTACGGGGCTGGTCAGGAGTCTTCGCATCAGTCAGAGTTCATGGGTTGTTCAGGAAAACAGAGTCAAGGTACTCTAAGGTCGTTGATCGGCAAGGTTCAGGCAGGTCTGAAAAGCAGAGTCGAGGGTCTGCCCAAAGGTCACAGGAGGCAGGCAGAGTCCAGAGTTGTGGTCGGGAAGTTCACAGGGTTGTGACAAGTTGCCTCCACAATCTGCAGTTCTCCAGGTCTGATTTATAAAGGCATTCCTTAGCAAGCCTGATACACAGCAGCTGGCACCGAGCCAAGAGGCGAGCACTCTCTCTGCATGTCCTTAAGTCTTGTTGAAGCTTTTCCCCTTGCTCAATTAATGAAGGGGAGCCTGGTGGGTTCCTTTCCTGCAGCTGTGCCTCCTCGGCTACTTCAGAGCTGTGCCTGGTTGGGTCAAGGTCAGCTGCTGGCAATGAATCTTGAGGCTCCTGTATCTCAAATCCACTAACTTTAGCTGGTTCAGAGCTAGCTGCATGTGGCTCCTCGACTCCAGAGGAGTCTTCAGCCACACTGGTCAGGCTGTCCCACAATAGTCAGCTTGTAGGTCCGAGTCCTAAATATATTTCGATAGATGTCCACAGGGGTCATTTCGTATGGGAGCACACAGGAGCGGAGCTCCGGCAGTAAAGAGCCCAGGGGGCGGGCACATGCAACAAGCCCCGCCCCCTGCTCCCAGCAGCCCTCAGTTGGGCCACGAGGAGCAAGAAGCAGCCAGGTAAGTTGCAGATAAGTTGCAGAGCCCCCCCGGCCCGCTTTCAGGTACAAGCTCTCCCTCCTCTGTGAGGGCAGATCTGCGCATCCTCCCCCATAGCTAGCAATCCAAAACAGTCCAGTGGCACCTTTAAGACCAAGTTTTATTCAGGTACAAGCTCTCCCTCCTCTGTGAGGGCAGATCTGCGCATCCTCCCCCATAGCTAGCAATCCAAAACAGTCCAGTGGCACCTTTAAGACCAAGTTTTATTCAGGTACAAGCTCTCCCTC